GAAGAACTGAAATTCAACAACATGGAAGTGTCGCATGTCGCATGCAATCCCAATCGAGCTACATTCGACATATGACGTGGCAATCGATCACAGTTCACAACAATTGGACCAATGAACGTTGTGTGTCCACATTAAAAGGTTTTTAAGTTTAAAAAGGAAGCCCCTGGATTATGTTGCGGCAGTGGAAAAGTCAAATTGATTTCATTGGTACCATCACCAGAGCCACTACATTCACTGTTTTCCGGAAATGGGCCAGATTCTATACATTTTTTGACGCATATCCAGCAATACAATAATTGCTTTCAAAAGACGTCATTTGGCGCAACGAAAGTCATTTGTCATATTTTTTATGCCTACTTTCAAGGTAAGTTAATGGGTAGATGGCATGGTGGTGAAAACACTTCGCTATATAGTTACCTATATTCCATATATATTTACCCTTTCATTATTCATCCCAGTTCATAGCTAAGACAGGACAACGTCTGTCGGGTCGGCTCGTGTAGTATAAATGTGCCATTATTTTCCTCGATACTGCCTGCGTTGCGTTTCTTTGGTGGAAGCTACCAGGTTAACGTATACAAGGATCATACTGTACCTCTTAGCCAGCCACCTTCCTCAATCGAGACTATGTTAAAAACATAGGAAAAGAACCGATGCCAAGATTTTCCAGGTAGATTGAACTTGAAGAACGCGTTCGCACAGTAACGCGGATACCTCAACCGAAAGCTTAACGCATTTGCCCTACGACATTCAGTAATGGTTTTGAAAAAGTGTCGCTTTCAAGCTAAAGAACGAGAATACCGATTCAGCTGTGCATTACCTGGAGTCAATGCATGTGTGTGCGTTGTGCTTCTATACAAGAAAACAGCAGGCCGCGCATATCTAAGTAATATCTAGTCTCATTATTCATTTTGTATGGTCAAACTTTATTTATCGAACAAAATTTAGACTATCACGTTATCGGATTCTGAGGATATAAACAAAACATTGAAGTACGGGTGCGTGAATCTGTGACGTGGCCTTGGCATATTTTGAGCATGCTGAATTAGATAAACAATCAAAGTTAATAAGTTGTCGACTATCTTGAAAAATGAAGAATGTGTTAGCTGCTAACGGACAAAATTGTGAAAATTCAATTTAGAGACTTGCTTTCAATACTACTGTATGGTTGTACCATGTTATATGTTTATTACTGATGATTCCAGGGTATATGACAAAACCTTTCCGTGGTATACGATTTCCGTCTACTGAGTCCGCGCTGTCTACCATTAGATTGTCAAACGGTTAGTTTTAATCAGTCACCGTTCCACGCTTCTAGTACTTCCCTGCTCCTGCAATCAGTTTTGAACCAGTTCACCAGAACACGACTGGGCTGCAAGTGCAGTGTCGTCAGCGTCACTGTTTCTGGACAATATCACTGGAATTATCACTAACATCGAACAACTATCTTAAGACACGATGTCACCCATTTGTGTAGATCAAAAGTTTCCATACAAGAATGCAATATTCTGAGTCACAGTGCCGGTTTCTGTCGAAAGTTGTCGGAAGGTCCTCAGAAATAATAGTATCTTAGAATTTCATTTACAAACCTGCGCTCTAGTCAGGAAAGATATTGAGAGTGAAAATGGATCTTCATTTATACCACTGGCGTTTGGACTATTAAAGACCCATTAGACACAGAAATAAGTTGCTGACAACTATTATATGCCGCCATAACAGTTGATAAAGAACTTCACCATGTTGCCATATCACGAGTGACGTCACCGATGCTGATTTACTGATTAAAGCACGTGAGCCGATGTCAACCCAACATTCCATTTATATATTTTCCTCAAATAATATTGCACCAATGTTTATTGGAATACTCCTTTAATCTAAACCTAAAATCAAATAAACATATTGAAAACGTTGATTTTGCTCAAATACAATGCTAACACAACCAAAGCATAGCCAACATGTCAGCCGTTCATTCAAAATAAATATCGACGTGAAATGGTGACAATAATAGCACAAAGCATAAAACTTTGATCACATATGTATACGTATACATCAAAACATGCAAATTTAGTGCTTCAAAACAAGCGGCATGGAGAATGATTTCGTTTTAGTGAAAGCGGCATAACAGAGTTGGCCTTATAGGATAGTACGTATATACATTTTGTTACTTTTTTAAAAATGAATGTCTACAGGAGAGTTATAAAACGAAAATATATTCTTCAACAACCCTTGACGTATACACAGATGTGTTGGAATATGTGGCACTATCCATCAAATTGCTCGAATGAAACTGCTTCATTGAAAGGAATTGAAATGTTAGAAGAATCAAAAATCACTTTCGCACCTGAAGAGCTTTACTGACGTTATGCTTAAGCTATGTTCACCTACAGTCCACTAATCTACTCCACTACTTTATCGGAACCCTTCTACAAACTGCTCTAAAACTCAAAATATAGATTTTCTCATACATTCTAAATACAATACCATGTGGGTATTTTTATTCCTGTCTCCTCAAACGACGACATACATATACAGGGTGTTCCTTAATGATATGCGAATATTTAAGGGTGTGTTCCTTGGAAACAAGAAAATTAGTAGGAAATCCAAGATGATTGTTTAGAAGACCGTATTTAGGCCAACATTAATTTATGGTAGCGAAGGTTGGGTGCTACATAATAAACAGATTAAAGAGCAAGATTCAGGCGGTAGATATGGAATTTCTAAGCAACGTCAAAGGAATAACTAGACGAGACAAAATCAGAAATGATATAGTAAGGGCAGAACTGGGAGTAGAACCAATCTTGCATAGAGTTGAAATACAACAATTAAGATGGTCTGGACACCTAAACCGCATGAAGGAAAGCAGACTAGCTAAACGGGTGTGGGAAGCAAGAGTCCAAAAAAAAGGAATACGAGGACTTCCGAGAAAGAAATGGAACGATGAGGTGATAATGGTACTGGCACATAGGGGAGTACTCGTAAACTGGAAAGATGCAGTGAAGCTGACAAAAAATAAAAAGCAGTGGGCTGCAACGATATATTCTACACAAGTTTGAGCGGAAGTAGGTTTATATTATACTTTTAAATACCTTCGGGTAGATAGAATTTTGATTATATATTCATTAATGTTATGCGAGTATTTAAGAGTGTGAATCTACATGAAACATTAACGTTAGTTTGCTTTTATACACTATGGTCCAAAAATGTTTCCCTACATAAACTCGGGGTGTTGAGAGTTTTAGGAAAAAAATGGAAATTAACTAATATTTTCAGGACCGCTTATTGCATATTTTTCAATGCAAAAATAATGTTTAGCTTTAACAGTGGCATGCGTACGGGTATTGACTTCATTCTTTTTTTCTGCCAAATAAAAATTATTTTTAAATTCCTCGTTGAATTCAAAACAAATGATCTCTATTAAATTGTTTTCATTCGATGTCCCATTTTTGACAAAAAAAAAATAAAAACCGTTCCATTGTCCAACTTGCAAAATTGTTATTAATTTAATTGGTAAAATTAAACATATAAAAGGTAATGAACAACAACAGCTGACAGCATAAACATAACATTAAAACCAACGAAATGACTACAAAAATTGTTGAGTATGGCCCGCTTTACTTAGTATCCATGCTTCCGCCCTCCATCTCATGGAATTGCGCACTCGTTGAATTATTCCTGGAGTGTTTTTTATTCTATCACAAGTTGCAACTATTCTTTCTCTTAATTCCTCTGTAGTGTTAATGGGGCTTGTGTGCACTAGTGTCGTAAGATAGCCCCACAAAGAGAAATCTAAACTGTTGAGGTCTGGGGACCTTGGTGACTATTCTTGGGGCCCACCGCAACCAAATGATTTGGATAAACAGTTTGTAAATAATAACGAATCGCTACACTGAAATGCGCTGGTACACCATCATGCATGTACCACATACTGTTTTTTATTACTAACGAAATATCATCAAGCAGCAAAGGCAACTGTTGTAGAAGAAAATTGAGGTAAGTCTGTCTGCCAAGTCGTCCCGGCAAGAAGAATGGGTCAATAAGGTGGTTGTCAATAATTCCTGCCCATACGGCAACCGAAAATTGGTCTTGGAAATGGGTTTCGGTTACGGTATAGGGTTTTTTTTTCTGCCCCCAAATGATTATTGTGGTAATTCTGAATGGCATTTCGAGAAAAATTAGCTTCTTCCGTGAACAGAATAATTGATTCAAATTGTGGATTTTGTGTAATTTTTTGAAGATACCACTGACAAAAGGCCTCGCGCCTTGAAAAATCAATGGGAAGTAATGCCCGTGTTCTCAAACTATGGTAAGGATATAGTATAACAAAAAATCCACTAAAATTCTCTAAACAATTTGATAGCAAATATTCAAGTGTCTAGCGATCTTCCTCGTACTCGTTTCAGGATGTTCTTCGACTTCGTGCAGCACTGTTTCTTCAGTTTCAGGTGTTCTCACACTTAGAGGTCTACCTTCAGGTATTCCTTTTCGGACAGAACCAGTTTAAACAAGACGATGATGAATATTAGGAAGGGTTCGACTATCTGGCAAAGCACGATCGGGATGTCTCTGGTGATAAATCCGTCTGGCTTACTCACCATTACCGTCGGCAAGCATTTCCGCCATTTCTGCATTTGAATAATTCACCATTATTGACAAAATTGTAAAAACTAAATAATGAAAAGATATCACAGCGAACAGATTTGAATAACAGAGACTTGTCAGATGTCAAAAGCCATTGACGTATCGCAGAGTAACTAGATATTTATTGCTATCTGAAAGACATCCCCTATATAGGGTTTGAAAACGCGGTTTTACTAGCTTTGTAGTCTGAATTGAAGGAGATGGTTCAAGTTTGTGTAAAAGAGAAACAGAGAAAGGGGATTGTAAAGATCATTCTCAATATAACAGCTAGACGATAAGGGGTGGGGAACATAAAGCTCATACTATTATTGTACAAATATATGTTCGTACGTTTTTGATCTGATGACGCCAAGTCGACCTACTTGATGGCATTTTGAGGAGTGGAGGATGGTTGAATTCCTTCTCAAACAACCTAAATGAAATACCATGTACGTATCTTTTCTTTTTTTTCTCTGAAAACGATAACATCTGCAATTGGAGAGAAGGATTAGTAACTCAAGAAGAAGAGATGAACTGATGTGGCATATATTGATTCTGAGGATCTGAAAGACATCTTTGTAGGGTTCGCAAACGACGTTTTATAAGCTTTGTATTCTGAAAGGGAGGGGATGGTCCAGAATGATACAAAAGAGAATCTGAGAAAAGGGACTGCAAAGCCATTGTCAACTTAAAAGCTGTTGGAGCAAAAAGCAAGACGACAAGGGGTAGGAAACACAAGGAAGCCGAATCCATAATGGTAAAGTTATCACAGCTTATGAGAAATGCAGGATTTTTATGAATGAGTTCATTTATTCTTTGAATTGAAAAGGCGAAACAACAATTTTTGCTAACAGATCAAGAGGAAGACATATTTAGAACCATAAGGGTTCTACAGGGAAAAAAATGAATGTTGATGTTTTAACTACCAGTTTTGAACGGAGTATGTTCAACTTTCAAATGTATTCAAACGTTTCAAATTATCGCGACAGTATCATGCACCGCGTTCTGCTTGCGCTAACATAATCCTTAAATACATTTGTAACACAAAAATAATCCTCGATTGAAAAATGTTAAACGAGAAGCTCTTGTTTTCAACGATGGCTGATTCACGGCTTGGATGTAAAACGTGAAACTCGATTTTCTCAGGTATTTGCTTTGTCTTGGTTTCCCCTATGCACCTTATAGATTGAAACGTGCAAAGCTGAAACATTCGATTTTTCCGAACTGTTGACTTTACTTGGGTTTCCCCGGTGTACCTTAATCTTAGAGATACAAACATGCAAAATTATAAAATGCGGCATGTTAGTAAGTTAACATTTACGTGTAATTATCCATAACAGACAATAAATAATGTGATTGATATGATTCTTCGCTTAAGACATATTCCACTTATTCATTTATTTCTCATTTATTTATTGGTCGCTTTATTTAAATGATATGTATGACAAGCCATTGGATGCAAAGTAAACGAAAGTCAAACATTCACAATAAAAAAAAACGGGGGACATGAGACATAAATCACATAAGGAACTTGATATTGGAATTACTCCTCAGCAGAGTAGAAAAGATGATCGAGTAGGATGGACCCCATTCATTTTTTGAATTGCATAAAATTCAGCTCACTGATGGTCTGAGGTAATTTGTTGTATCCCCAACATTTGGAAGAGGTGTTTGCAGTGCTCATTGAACTTAGCACCTGTACTGCACGTTTTTGCATTTTGAATGCACGCACAACGTGACATGATCCTCTCCATACGTAAAAAGATCCGACTAATAGCACAAACGTTATGGCCGAAAAACGAGGCAAACTGCAGGTTTTGGCACTTGTTGGTAATGCAACGATGGTTTCTCGCAGAAATTTGAAAGTATTTAAATCTGTAGGATTGGTACTTCTAAAGTAGTTTTTGAGAATTTCTAATTGCTTATCCCAAATCACCTGTTTGCCGGCCATCACTACTAGTTTATTGAGCAATATACAGGGTTAGTTCAAAGGTCATTTTACAGCAAAATACACTAGCTTACCTTGCCGATATGATTCGCAAACCATTCCGGAAGATTAATGTCATTTTTATGCAAGAAATGATGGGTTACGTTTTTTCTTCTGAACAAATTGAAACATTTCGTATTTGTGAAGAAAAAACGTAACCTTCATTTTTTCGCATGAAAATAACATTTATCTTTCGGAATGGTTTGTGATCGACGTCGGCTAGGCAAGGTAAACTAGTGTATTTTGCTATAAAATGCACTTTGAACTAACTCTGTATATTGCTCAGTAAAGTAGTAGTGATAGCCGGAAAACAGGTGTTTTAGGATACACAATTAGAAATTCTCAAAAAATACTTGACCAATATAATCCAATTTTGTAGTTGTTTTTTAGAAGTATGAATCCTACGAATTTGAAGATTATCAAGTAGTTTCGTGAAATTATCGTCGCATTACCAACAAGTGCCAAAACCTGCATTTTCACTCGTTTTTCGACCATAAGGTTTTTGCTATCAGTCGATTCCTTTTACGTGTGGTCTCATTTTGTAGGTCTCATAAATACCTAAAAATGTTGTTTTCTAGTTCCTGTCAACATTTTCGATTGAATCCCAAAAAAACACGCCTTCTCATTATTTGTTGTCAGATAAAACGTTTTCCCACAAAAATTGCTGTATCGATTTTATGCGTCCATGTTGTAAATACCTCCTTGAACAAATTCGACCAACAAAACCAGACTTTACAATTATTATTTCGGAAAAACTCGCTAATATGATTAGACTATCATAGGCATCCAGGATTGAACATAAATTCTACCAATTGTAAAGTGAATTTGAATGAAGGTTAAATTAAGCCTATAAGGTATATCATACCGTAACAGAAGCTCTTTCAAACTGATTTATTTCTCAATGGAACAGTTTTTCTTGTCTCCTGAAAAATTCAAATTGTGAGAATGATAAGATTTTTTCATGGACCCATACAAATGAAAGCTCTGCTCTTTCATACTGTCAAAGTAACAAAAACCACCTTCCATGTTACCGAAATCCCACATCATCATAATATGCATGCATGGACTCTTATCCATTCTAAAACATACAACTGAAACGTAAGATAAAGTAAATTGCTGTTATGCTACTTCCCTTCGCTGTGAAAATTGCATTATTGAAAGCTCTGTGAATTGTTCTGGTTAAATACAGCCATGTCATACATATCCGAGAGAGGTTTCTCTAAGACGAGCAAATATCCTGCAAAATTAAGTGGGACGGGTTTCCAATTGTGAAAAGCCACAGGACAGAGCTGTTTAAAGCTGGCAGTGAAGCCGCTAGTCGTGCGCTGAAAATTTGAAGGATATCCCCAGCGGGTTTGTTGGAAAGACGCGCCCTCATTTTTCTCCGTCTCGGTTGACGGGTTGAGACAGCGCCATTATTACCTGGGTTGCTCTTTTCCGGCATTGTCTCCGTGATAAATTGATGAATTGGTTATTGCTTACCTCATACGGATGTTCCAGTTGTGTGTGCTTTTGCAGTTCAGACGTTATCTCAGCTTACGCAACGGTATCTTTGAGAATTAGAGATCACTCTTAGCAGGCCGCTGACTGCATTTTTAGTACAAGCTTTTGACAAAAAATCTTGGAACTGAATTTGGATACAGCTAACTTTTAGCAACTGAGCTGAAACTTTGTACATACGCTTGGTTCGAGTGACAATACAGAACATATTTACGGTCGCCGTTTTGATTCCAATGTTGCCTATGTTGCAATTGCGATTCGTCATTTCCATAGTAGCCCATATGATATGAGTATCAAATGGAAGGGTTTGATGGAAGAAACGCAATATTGGAAGTGTTGCCTCAAAACGGCGATTTAGATTTTTCGTAGTCACCCATATGATATGAGGAGCAAATGGAAACGCTTGATGAGAGAAACGCAATAAGCAAAGTAACGTCATGTTATTTTCAATATGGTGACCGCTCCAATGTGGCGTTTATAATTACTATAGTCACCCTTATGATGAAGTTATCAAACTAAAGGGCTTTATGAGAAGAAACATAACAAGCAATGTAACTGCAATCTGACCAATAAGGCGGCTACCAGAAAATGGCGATTTATAATTTCCATAGTCACCTTTATATTATGGGCATCAAATGAAAGGGCTTGATGAGTAGAACATAATAAGCAAAGCAAGGCGATGACATTATAAGTTCAATCTGGCGGCAGCCGCTAAATGGTGCTTTATAATATCCATGGTCACCGGGGTGATATGGGTATCAAGTAGAAGAGCTTCATGAGAGAAACGTAATAAGCAAATAACATCATTCTAAATTCCATAGGTAGAGCGATCAACGTAAAATATCGTTTCATCATTATATGATTTATATCTATCGAAATTTTACAATACAAATAAAGTAAGAAGTTTTAAGGAGTCCTCATAACGGAATATAGTAAGATTTTATATAAATTAGCAGAGTAGTTACTTGACATCGTAAATACTGAAAAGGTAAAAATAAATAAAATATAAAAATACATTTTTAGAACCAAGCTCATATTTAGCATTTTTTTCCGATTGGAATTATTTATACGGTGATGAAGGTTTTTCATCGCACGTTTTCTAATAAAAGCGTGTTACGATTTGACGCCAGGACGGAGAAAGGGTGTAACTAGCTTTCATTTGAAAAATTGTCTTGAAGAAGCTTCACTGTCCAATACATATTTACAAACGAACGGAAATATTTATAGTATAGGACTTACTTTTGAATATCGCGCCTATTTTATATATTCCGAATCCAATTTATGTTCTCTGCTACTTCAACATTGTAAACCACATTGGGCTGTTGTCGTTTAAGTCATGAATGTCACTTTTTCTTTAATGTTCCATAAGTTCTGAGTCGAGATGTCAATTATGTTGTGTGGTTTGGTGTGTGGCGTTTGATTTTATGGAACTTGTAAGATAAATCCAGTTTTTTTCATCGAGCTACTACCCGTAATTTCATTCCTAACAGCTAAATGAAAGCTTGTTTTTAAAATGTATTTTTTCATTTTATCTATTTTTGGACCTGTAGGTATTCACTTACGGCGATACGAGTAGTAACATGTTCTCGAACAACAAACATTAATGTTGCGTTAGACAGTTCTCACCGAAAGCAACTGACGACAGCAACCCGACTACAACCCGGCACGTGTACATACTTCCACCATTGCTCAATGGCTTCAGCTACTGCGGTCACTAGATGGTTTGGAGACGTTGACTACCGTTCGCATCATGGCACAAGGTGTTACTTTCCTCAGGTAGATCATCGCATATTATACTTGTTATATTTTGGGACTCTTTGTTGAATAAAGTTAAGAAATTGCGTCAGGTAGGCTAACTCTACGTTTCGTCATCAGCTCAGAAGGGATTAAGTTCGACCCAAGTTAAACCCTCCGAGAAAAAAATTAGCTACAAACATGTACAATGAAAAAATTATAAGTCAGGCAACACATATTTTTTCCCTGCCCTACCGGTGGTTACCGT